TACATACACACACACACACACACACACACACACACACACACACACACACACACGCACTCTTGAAGATGTAGAATAGATCCCTCGGAGAGCCTCCCTCTCCAGTCTGGTAATGTATCCGTTCTGACAATAAGACGAGTGCGGCACTCATGGTATTTTTAAATGAGACACGCTGGCTGGGTGTAATTTAATTTAACATTGCCTTCATACAGAATACTGTAGCTGACTGGAAGAATTTAAGTGAGCCATGGAAGGGAAGAAGCATCGCCCCAGATATTGAATAATTCATTCCCAGGTGAAATCCGATAATGGCATAAAAGGCAGCGGTCTAAATCATTTAATATTATTTTGAGTTGTTGAGAAAGAACAACATAGTGCACTTCTTCTTACTTACCTCATCAATAAATCAGTAATGCCACTAGTAATACTACTGCAACCACTACTGCTACCGTAACTGACCTCACTACTACTACTACTACTACTACTACTATTACTACTTATTCAAATATGTCCATCCGTTTTTAAGGAAGTATATATTTAAAGCTGCACTAATCAATATTTCTATATTAACAATGAGTCAAATGACTATGTGCAGTAGTAAGAAACCCACAGAGAATTATTATCCGACTCAATTTGTATCTCTGATCATTATCCCCTCAGGTCTGTGGAGAGTTTCAGTACCTTTTAGCTCATTGTTTTTTATGGCCTGAGGCCAGATTAAACCCACTGTAAACGAGCGGCTCAGCACCAGACAGCAGACACACAAAGTTAGCGACTAGCATTCAGAGCATTTAGCAGCTTAAGAGCCAGATAACTTTCCTTAAGGAGTTTGTGAAGTGCAAAACAGCTAGAAGGAGAGTCAATATTTGAGATAACGTGACTCCAACTGAATGCTAATGTCACTTTGTGTTTTGGTTCACTGCTGGATGTGCAAATGAGCAACTGTTTGCTCACAATGTTCATCATATCCGCTTTATAAAGTCATAATATGTCAGTGTTGAGTTATTAGCCAAAGAATCAAGTTGCGCTGG